CAGTCCGCAGTCGCTGTGACCTCGGCGACGGGATGGATGGCTCCGCCCAGCACGACGCCGAGCTGGTGGTTCCAGCTACAAGGAGGAGCAGCAGCAGGAGAAGCAGGACGATGAGGATAAGGAGAAGGAGGAGGGGAGAGCTGAGGAGGGGGAGAGGCAGGCGCGGCGTGCACTGCAGGGCCGAGCGTGCCCCAGCCTGCTCGGGGCCTCAGTGGATGACCTGCGCCTTGCAGCTAACGCAGGTGAGCTGGAGACCCCTGCCCTCCTCGGCGTCGCCAGCCCCAACGCTGGTGAACCACGATGCTGGGCTCCACCTCACAGTCAATGCCGCCGAAACCCCGCGCGGTATCAGAAGATGATTGGCTGCACCTCCCCTGTGGCGGACGACGTTGGCCACCACGTTGCTACACCAGTGTCGCCGATTCCCGCCTTTTGTGGCTGAAACTGGTGCGCCCTAGCAGTCGCGCGCTCCTTGAGTACCCAGGCCCCCGCCAGCTGGCAAGGGTCGACGGGTCGGGCTGGGCTTCGCCACCCACATCGTTCTCGCAATGACTCTGGATGCCTGCGCCACCTTCTCAAAAGCCGCCCACGGCGAGAGCACAGACGAACACCGACCGAACTGGCAGCGAGATCGCGACCGACAGCACGCAAGCAGCCCAGCAGAACGCCTGGACGCCGCAGCGACGCGACAGCCGATCGCGTCGAACCAACTGAAGGCAACCGACTGAGACGCAGCCGAATTGAACGAACCGCGGACACCCCTTGCTTTAGGTCGGGCATGTCCCCCTACACGCGGATCGTGGACGAAACATTGGAAATATCCCCCCCCCGAAAAAATGCCCCAAAATAGCCAAAAATGACCAAAACCCAAACAAACAAGAAAACGTCCCCTGATCATGTATTTTTGCATACAAATAGCCAAATAGCCACAAATTGTCAAATAGCCAAATAGCAAAAAAAATAAACAAAAACTATGTTTTCATATTCCTTCTGTAAAGGGACAGGCCCGACATACCCTTGCTCTCACATGCTCTGGCCCCCGCCGTCTCTGCAGGGATCGCTGGTGTCGACGCCACGATCGCCCACCCGCCCGCCCGCATCTTCATGGGCCTGTTTTCCACCACCGCCACTACATGTTGGAGGGGGAGGGGGTCCTCCTCCTCCTCGTCCTCCTCCTCCTTCTCCTCCTCCTCCTCCTCCTCCTCCTCCTCCTCCTCCTCCTCCTCCTCCCCTCCCCCTCCCCCCTCCTCCTCCTCCTCTTACTCCTCCTCCTCCTCCTCCTCCTCCTCCTCCTCCTCCTCCTCATCCTCCTCCTCCTCCTCCTCCAACTTATGGTGGTGATGATGAACAACAAGCCCACCACATCTGGCCGCAATGACCTGCCTCGTGCAATGTGCGCTGCGCCTCTGCCGCCGGGGGCGGCGAGGCACCACGGCCAGCTCCGTGCTCGACCCCTCCACCGCGGGGTCCGCAGGGAGCCCCCTGCTCCCCCCCCCCCACGCCGGGCGTCCGCGCTCGGACGGCGAGCACCGAGTGGCCATCCGCGGTTCCCACGCTCTCGGTGGCTCTCGCAGGCAGGGCGTTTTTGTCCTGCGTTGGCGCGAGAGGCCCGCGCGGTGCTACGATTGCTAGCGACAGCGAGCACGCGAGGGCAGCTGCTGACAGGGGGAGGAGAAAGCGGGCAGCAGGAAGTGCGGAGCAGGGAGCAGGGAGGAAGAGAAGGAAGAGGACGAGGAGGACGAGGACGACGAGAGAGAGAGAGAGAGCGCAGACAGGGAGAAGACGCCTCCAGACCGCAGGACCGATCGTGGAGGACACCGCGACGGGTCGACGGGCAGGCGGAATGGCCGCACGATCAGCGACCACCTTCTCCTCCTCCTCCTCCTCCTCCTCCTCCTCCTCCTCCTCCTCCTCCTCCTCCTCCTCCTCCTCCTCCTCCTCCTCCTCCTCCTCCTCCTCCTCCTCCTCCTCCCCCCCCCTCTTGCTCCTCCTCCTCCTCCTCCCCCTCCCCTCCCCCTCCCCTCCCCCTCCTCCTTCTCCTCCTCTCCTCTTCCTCCTCCTCCTCCTCCTTCCTCCTCCTCCTCCTCCTCCTCCTCCTCCTCCCTCCTCGTCCTCTTCCTCCTCCTCCCCCTCCTCCTCCTCTCCTCCTCCTCCTCCTCCTCCACCTCCTCCTCCTCCTCCTCGTCCTCTCCTCCTCCTCCTCCCTCCTCCTTCTCCTCCTCCTCCTCCTCCTCCTCTTCCTCCTCCTCCTCCTCCTCTTCCTCCTCCACCTTCTCCTCCACCTTGTCCTCTTCGGCTGCCGTCCAGGCTTGCGTTTCCCAGAATTCAACAATTTGAATCGGGCGAAGTATGGGAAACGCAACCCCGGACGACTGCCCCAGGACACATTGCGCGGGAAACGCGTTCCCCATAATCCAAATTCCGAATTATGGGGAACGAAATTTCCCTTGAAAAGACGCACTCAATGGGCTGGAATTGCGTTTCCCATAATTCGAAATTCGAATGATGGGAAGCGCAAGTTCCCTTGAAAAACCGCACTCCACGGGCCGGAATTGCGTTTCCCACAATTCCGATGTATGGGAAACGCAGCTTCCCTCTGGAAAACCGTACTCCATGGGCTGAAACTGCATGTCTCATAATTCGGAATTCGAATTCTGGGAAACTGCGTTTCCTGAAATTCGAATCCGAATTATGGGAAGCGCAATTTCCGTTGAAAAACCGCACTCGATGGGCTGGAATTGCGTTTCCCATGATTCCGAATTCGACTTCTGGGAAAATGCATTTCCCGAAATTCGGAATTCGAATTATGGGAAACGCAATTTCCACTGAAAAACCGCACTCGATGGGCTGGAATTGCGTTTCCCATAATTCCGAATTATGGGAATCGCAATTTCCCTTGAAAAACCGCACTCGATGGGCTGGAATTGCGTTTCCCATGATTCCGAATTCGACTTCTGGGAAAATGCATGTCCCGAAATTCGGAATTCGAATTATGGGAAACGCAATTTCCGCTGAAAAACCGCACTCGATGGGCTGGAATTGCGTTTCCCATGATTCCGAATTATGGGAATCGCAATTTCCCTTGAAAAACCACCCTCGATGGGCTGGAATTGCGTTTCCCATAATTCCGAATTACGGGAAACACAATTTCCTTTGGAAAAAACGCACCCAGTGGGCTGGAATTGCGTTTCCCATCATTCGGAATTTGAATTATGGGAAACTGCGTTGCCCGAAATTCGGATTTCGCATTATGGGAAGCGCAATTTCCTTTGAAAAACCGCATTCGATGGGCCGGAATTGCGCTTCCCATAATTCCGAATTGTGGAAAACGCAGTTTGGCCTGAAAAACCAATTACGTTTCCCATGATTGCGAATTCGACTTCTGGGTAAATGCATTTCCCGAAATTCGGGATTCGAATTATGGGAAAGGCAATTTCCGTTGAAAAACCAAACTCAATGGGCTGGAATTGCGTTTCCCATAATTCCGAATTATGGGAAACGCAATTTCCTGTGAAAAACCGCACTCAATGGGCAGGACTTGCGTTTCCCATCATTCCGAATCACGCGAAACGCCAGTTTCCTTCGAAGGAAAACCACACATCAAAAAAAACAATGAAAACAAAAAAATGGGCTGGAATTTCGTTCCCCATAAATCCGAATTCGAATTATGGGAAACTGCGTTCCCCGAAATTCGGAATTTGAATTATGGGAACCGCAATTTCCCTTGATAAACCGTATTTCTGATTTTGAATTATGCGAACCGTAATTCGAATTCCGAATTTCGGGAAACGCGGTTTCCGAGAATTGGAATTCCGAATTCTGGCAAACGCAATTCCGAAATACGGGAAACGCAATTCCATCCCATCGGGTGTGGTTTTTCCCAGGAAAGACCGCACTCAATGCGCTGGAACTGCGTTTCCGGTAATTCGAATTCCGAATCTCGGGAAACGCGGATTCCCAGAATTCGAATTTCGAATTATGGGAACCGTAACTACCATGGAAAAACCACACTCAATGGGCCGGATTGGCGTTTCCCAGCAATCCGAATTATGGGAAACGCAATTGCCTTTGAAAACCGCACATGGGACACGCAATTCCAGTGGAAAAACCACGTTCAATGGGCTGGAATTGCGTTTCCCATAATTCGACTTACCGAATTTCGGGGAACGCGGTGGAACGCGGTTTCCCAGAATTCAGATTCCGAGTTACTTTCGAAAACCGCACCGATGGGCCAGAATTGCGATTCCCATAATTCCGAAGTATGGGAAGCGCAATTTCCTTTGAAAACCGCATATGGGAAACGTAATTTCCTTCTGGAAAGACCGCACTCATCAATGGGCTGGAATTGCATGTCCCAGATTTCCGAACTATGGGATACGCAATTTCCTTTGAAAAACCGCACTCGGTTGGCTGGAATTGCGTTCCCAGAATTCGGAATTTGAACTGGGAAACTGCGCTGGAAAACCGCACTTACTGGGCTGGATTTGCGTTTCCCATAATGCGAAGACCAAATTTCGGGAAACGCGGCTTCCCAGAATTCGAATTCCGAATTATGGTAAACGCAATTTCCCTTGAAAGAAACCTCCCTCAATGGGCCAGAATTGCGTTTTCCATAATTCCGAATTATAAGAAAAACAATATCCTTGGAAAAAGCCGCACTCGGTGGGCTGGAATTGCGTTTCCCATGATTGAATTTCGACTTTCGGGAAACGGGGCTTCCCAGAATTCGCATTCCGAATTATGGTAAACGCAATGTTCCTTGAAAAAACGCCCTCAATGGGCCAGAATTGCGTTTCCCATAATTCCAAATGATGGGAAACTCGATTTCCTTCGAAAAAACACACTCGATGGGCTGGAATTGCGTTTCTCATAATTCGGAATTCGGATTCTGGGACGATGTCTTCCCCAAATGATGGGAACCGCAATTTTCTTTGAAAAACCGTATACAATGGGCTGGAATTGCGTTTCCCATAATTCGATCTCAAAATTTCGGGACAGGCGGCTTCCCAGAATTCGAATTCCGTGTTATGGGAAACGCAATTTCCTTTGAAAAACCGCACTCACTGGGCAGGAATTGCGTTTCCCATAATTCCGAATTATGGGAAACGCAATTTCCTTTGACCAACCGCACTCGGTGGGCTGGAATTGCGTTTCTCATGATTCGGACTTCGAATTATGGGAAACTGCGTTTCCCGAAGTTCGGAGTACTGATTATGGGAAATACAATTTCCTTTGGCAAATCGAACTCGATAGGCAGGAATCGCGTTTCTCATAGTTCGAATTCCGAATTCCGGGAAAGGCGGCTTCCCAGAATCCGAATTCCGTAGTATGGGAAACGCAATTTCCTTTGGGAAAATCGCACTCGATGGGCCGGAATTGCGTTTCCAATAATTCCGAAGTATGGGAAACGCAATGTCCTTTGAAAAACCGCACTCGGTGGGCTGGAATTGCGTTTCCCATAATTCGGAATTCGAACTATGGGAAACTGCGTTTCCCGAAATTCGGAATACTGATTATGGGAAATCCAATTTCTTTTGAAAAACTGCACTCGGTAAGCTGGAATCGCGTTTCCCATAATTCGAATTCCGAAATTCGGGAAAGGCGGCTTCCCAGAATCCGAATTCCGTAGTATGGGAAACGCAATTCCCCTTCAAAAACATTCGGAATTCGAATTCTGGGAAACTGCGTTTCCCGAAATTCGGAATTCGAAATATGGGAAACGCATTCAATTTCCATTGAAAAGCCGCACTCCATGGGCTGGAACTGCGTGTCCCACCATTCTGAATTCGAATTCTGGGAAACTGCGTTCCCCGAATTTCGGAATTCGAATCAGGGGAAACGCAATTCCGCTTGAAAAACCGTACTCACTGGGCCTTGCGTTTCCCATGATCCGGAATTTGAATTCTGGGAAACTGCGTTTCCCGAAATTCGGAATTCGAATTATTCCCCGATCAGGGCTTGCCTCTGTAGGGGTCCTAGCGGATTCATGTTGTTAGGTTGGATTTGCCGCCGATTTTCGCCGCGGGTGCCCGAGTGCCCGGGGGTGCCCGGGTGCCCGGGGGTGCCCGGGTGCCCGGGTGCCCGGGTGCCCGGGTGCCCGGGCGTGCCCGGGGGGGCCCGGGGGCCCGGGGGGGCCCTATAGCTCTATAGCCCTATAGCCCTATAGCTCCATAGCCCAATAGCCCTATAGCCCTGTAGCCCTACAGCTCTAGCTCTATAGCCCTATAGCCCTATAGCTCAATAGCCCTGGAGCCCTATAGCCGCATAGCCCTATATAGCTCTATAGCCCTGTACCCCTATACCCTATAGCCCTATAGCCCTATAGCCCTGTAGCCCTGTAGCTCTATTACCCTATAGCAGAATAGCCCTATAGCCCATATAGCCCTATAGCCCTCCAACCCTAAAAAGATTATGATTGGGCTTTTGTCCGGTATCATGGGAAACGCAATTTCCCTCGAAAAACCGTACTCCATGGGCTGGAACTGCGTTTCCCATATTTCGGGAAACTCGGTGTCCCAGAATTCGAATACCGAAATATCGGAAACGCAATTCCCCGTGGAAAACCGCATTGGGCCAGAATTGCGCTTCCCATACTCCCGAATTATGGGAAGCGCAATGTCCTTTGAAAAACCGCACTCGGTGGGCTGGAATTGCGTTTCCCATAGTTCGGAATTCGAATTCTGGGAAACTGCGTTTCCCGAAATTCGAAATTCGAAGTATGGAAAACGCACTTTCCCTTGAAAGACCGCACTCCATGGGCCGGAAGTGCGTTCCCCATAATTCCGAATTATGGGAAACGCAACTTCCTGGGAAAAAACCGCACTCGGTGGGCTGGAATTGCGTTTCCCATAATTCCGACTTATGGGAAACGCTACTTCCTTTCAAAAAACCGCACTCCATGGGCTGGAATTGCGCTTCCCATAATTCGGAATTCGAATTCTGGGAAACTGCGTTTCCCGAAATTCGGAATTCGAGTTATGGGAGACGCAATCCCAGCCCATTGAGTACGGTTTCTCCCGGGAAATCGCGTTTCCCATAATTCGAAACTCGAATTAGGGGAATATCGCACTTCCCGTGCAATAAGTGCTGCGTTTCCTACAATTTTTACTTATGGGAAACGTAATTCAGGACGACTGCCCTCCTCTTCCTCCTCCTCCCCCTCCTTCTCCTCCTCGTCCTGCTCCTCCTCCTCCTCGTCCTGCTCCTCCTCCTCCTCCTCCTGCTCCTCCTCCTCCTCCTCCCCCTCCTCCTCCTCCTCCTCATCATCATCATCATCATCATCATCCTCCTCTTCTTCCTCCTCTTCTTCCTCTTCCTCCGCCTCCCCTCCTCCGCCTCCTCCTCCTCCTCCTCCTCATCATCATCAGCATCATCATCATCATCATCTTCCTGCTTTTCCTTCTGCTCCTCCTCCTTCTCATCATCATCATCATCACCACCACCATCCTCCTCCTCGTTCTCGTCCTCCTCGTCCTCCTCCTCATCAGCATCATCATCCACAACATCATCATCATCATCATCATCATCATCACCACCAGCATCAGCATCAGCCTAAGCATCATGATCAGCATCGTCATCAGCATCATTATCATCAGCATCATCATCAGCATCCGAATCGTCATCATCGTCATCGTCATCGTTATCATCATCAGCATCAGCAGCAGCAGCATCATCATCATCAGCATCATCATCGTCGTCATCATCAGCATCATCATGTTCCTACTTATCATCCTCCTCATCATCATAAGCAGCATCATCATAATCATCATCAACAGCATCATCATCAGCATCCTCAGCATCATGTGTATCATCCTCCTCATCATCATCAGCAGCAGCATCATCGTCATCATCATCAAGAGGTTGATGTTCATCCTCATCGTTATCTTATTCCTCTTCCGCACGCATCGGCCATCGATCCTCCCTCTCCTACTCCATCGCCGCCTCCTGCTCCCTCTTATGCTCTTCCTCCTCCTTATCATTATTCCTCCTTGATAGTATCACGAAACATGTGATCAGAATTATCCGTATGTTTCGTATTCTTATGATTAGCATGAATAGTTTGTTTGGGGTGTCTTTCTCCTTCGCACCATTCTCTCGATTCGCCGACGCCGTGATGTTTCAGCCCACGCCCCCCAGACATCTCCACCCCCTCCCGAGACCAATTCTTGTCCTGGATCATTGTTTAACGGCCCCGCGGCCTGGAAGCGGCCCCTGGAGGCCGAAGACAGGACAGATAGAGAGACAGAGTGAGAGAGAGACGAGAGAGAGATACAGGAAAAAAACACGTCAGGGGTGTTGCCCACACGTCGGCGTTATGGAATCCTCCTCATCCTTCCCTAGGAATTGACCTCGGGAAGGGTCCGTTGGGTGCTGCCTGGCCATTGTCGAGAGGAACCCAGGCGTGGCGACGAGAAAAGGCCCAAGATCTTCGAACCTCGAAACTCGGTCCTCGAACATGCTCCTGCTGAGGAGGGGAGGTGTCGAGGCGGTCGCGGACGGCAGATCGCGCGGGAGGCCGAGTGGAGCGGCCCATGAGGTCGCCGAGGCACCGCGACATGTTCAGCCCTGGGAAGCAGCGCGGGCCGCACGGCGCCGGGGCGCGGAAGAAGGATTCGCACAGGCACACACGGCGGGCTCACGTCGAGACGGCTACGGGAGTCAAGGACGGCGTAGACGTAAACGGTCCGATGTCTTGGATCGGGGCTGAACATGCCCTCCCTGGCGCGCTCGGCGGCGCTGGATGCGCCGTCGGGATGGGCCCAACGTCGATCCGACAAAAAAATCTGCGCTGACCTCCGAAAGCGTATACTTATGCAATGCCATCTTACTCGAAAGGTGTCGGCGTTGGTTTCACACATGGATCGTCCACCCTCGGGCAGTCGCGGCCGAGCCTGTTCGAAAGCACTTGACCGAACCTGGGCGATCAAGACGGTTTCCGTGCCCCCAAGAGGCGCCCAAGAGCCCTCTAAAACCATCCAGGCTGCCCTGGGCGACTCCTGAGAGGCCGCGAAAACGCACCCAGAAGCCCGCAAGTGGTGCCTGACGAGGGGGAGGCTTTACAACGTGTAAGAGCAACTTCATCCCAATTCCAACCAAAACCCAACCGAGACCCAACCAGAATGCGGGCAAAACATGTGTATTTTGAGCACCACTTACACGGGTTTTGGCCGCATGTCCAACCAGAACCAACCACGAATCAACCACGGCCATTCGGCTGGTTGGCGGCTGGTTGGCGGCTGGTTGGCTGCCAACCAGCCAACCAGCCAACCAGCCAGCCAGCCAACCAGCCGTGATCGTGGTTTGGTCATCGTCGTCGTCGTCGTCGTCGTCGTCGTCGTCGTCGTCGTCGTCGTCGTCGTCGTCGTCGCCGTCGCCGTCGTCGTCGTCGTCGTCGTCGTCGCTGCCGCCGCCAGCCGGCCGGCCAGGCAGCCAGACGGCCAGCCAGCCAGCCAGACAGCCAGCCAGCCAGCCAGAAGTCAACCAGAAGCCAGCCAGCAAGCCAGCCAACCAGCCAGCCAACCAGCCAGACAGCCAGCCAGCCAGCCAGCCAGCCAGCCAGACAGCCAGCCAGCCAGCCAGCCAGCCAGCCAGCAGGCCGACCAGCCAGCCCGCCCGCCAGCCAGCCAGCCAGCCAGCCATAAGTCAACCAGGGGCCAGCCAGCCAGCCAGCCAGCCAGCCGACCAGCCAGCCAGCCAGCCAGACAGCCCTCGAGCCAGCCAGCCAGCCAGCCAGCCAGCCAGCCAACCAGCCAGCCAGCCATCCAGCCAGCCAGCCAGCCCGCCAGCCAGCCCGCCAGCCAGCCCGCCAGCCAACCAGCCAGACAGCCAGCCAGCCAGCCAGCCAGCCAGCCAGACAGCCAGCCAGCCAGCCAGCCAACCAGCCAGCCAGCCAGCCCGCCAGCCAGCCCGCCAGCCAGCGTGCCAGCCAGCCAGCTAGCCAGCCAGCCAGCGGACCAGCCAGCCAGCCAGCCAGCCAGCCAGCCATCCAGCCAGCCAGCCC